AGTAATGAAAGAAGGAAGAAAATGGTAAAAGGGAGGAATTTATCATGATCTCACCGTATTTATTTTTGTATGCTTCCTTTGTACTAAAACCTATAACTGTGTTTTTTCAGCCAGTGCAACGTATCTCATCATATCAGTTGGAGAACAATTGATTTAGTTTTTCAGTGCTAGAGAATGGAGGAGATCAGGTGTGTCGGTACACACCTATAATCCTAGCTACTTGAAAGGCTGAGATTGAAGCATTCCAAGTTGGAGGCTAGCCTGGGCAACTTAGCCAGACCCTGTAGCAAAAAATTAAAAGGGCTGCAGATGTAGTTCAGAGATAGAGAGTCCCTGGGCTCAATCCTCAGTATTGCATCAACCAACCAACAAAAAACTGCAGTCAAAGGAAATCTCTCTTCCCTAGCCCTATTAGAGTATCTGTTTTGGTGCCTGATAGTTCTCTTTCGTACTAGTCTATTAGTTCTCTCACCTTCCTGCTTCTCTCTCTTGCTGGTCTGTATTTAAGTGAAACCTCTTTGCATCAGGCCATTTTATACCACTGAGGACTTCTTCCTCTTGGGATTGCTGAAAATTAAGACTTGAAGAAGAGACATTTTACAGACTATTTTCATTGCTGATCCTGTTTCTCTGGCCACACTTTAAAGAGGATCTGTAATCTCTAACCCATGCGCAGACAATGAATGCCTGCCATAGTCACCATTTGCCTGAGAATGGGTCTCCCTGGGCACTGTTCTGTACTCTCTCATGTGTACTCTGTGTCTAATCCACTTGTCTGGTGCTGGTTTCTTGATTGCAAAAGAATAGTCAGTGGGAAGAGTCACACAGGTAATAACAGTGACCTAAAAAGGAAAGGGTTATTGGTTGACCCCGGGAAGTTCTCAGTTGAAACAGTAGCCTAACAAAGGTCTTGAGGATCCTGATTTTTTGCCATTTGATTCCATCGTTCTTAGTGTGTTGGCTTTTGTCTTCATGTTTGCCACTTCATGTTGAAAGATGGACGCTGTGCTACAGAATGTTATCATGGCCATTTTCTGGGCTAGAAGAGAGAGGAAGTGGGTGTGATGGTACCAGCACCCCTCATCGGTCAAAACTATTATATGGCTGCTCATACTTCAGCTGAGCCTGGGAAATGCAGATCTTAGCTTTAGAGCTGCTATAGGAGAGAAAGATATGGAATGGTGTATGCCTGTAATTTCAGTGACTCCAGAGGCTGAAGCAGGAGGATTGCAATTTCAAAGCCAGCTTGGGCAACTTAGCAAGAACCTGTCTTGAAATAAAAATTCAAAAGGGCTGGGGATGTAGCTCGGTGGTAGAGCAGCCTTGGGTTCAACCTCTGTTACTGAAAAAAAAAATAAAGATTATATATATATATATATATATATATACACACACACACACACACACACACACACACACACACACGAAGAAGAAGAGAGTAGGAAATGACGTTTTATCAGCCAAACTATAGTGTTTGCCTCCAATGTGAACTAAAGAAATCCCTTACTGACTTCTCCCCAATGGTCAGGAGTGATTGATTCCATATTTCCCATTTTTCACTATCATACCCCTCATATAGCACACATCAGTTGTTTAAAAGCCAATAACCATTCTGCAGATTGCACTAGAATAGGGATAATAATCACAAGGTTACTGATTTAGTCATTGAATTCCTCAGTTCATCTTTAATTATTGAGTATCTACTTACTTCTGCTAATCACTGAAATACAATGTTGACAATGTATATTTCCTGTCACTGAATATATATCTTATCTGTACTGCGGTTAATCAATTAAGAATACTTTCAGATACTCAAAGGAAATTCAACTCACAGTGACTTAAACCTTATTAACAATCTATAATGAATATGTTATAACAATATGTATAACTCATAATAACAATAATTTGCTTTTTAAAAAATTCAAAAGCAGCTGAACAGGAGCTCCCCAAGATGAGGGTGCTGGGATCATGCCCTCTGTCCCCATGATTGTAAGATGGCTACCACAGCTCCAAATATCTCATCCTTCAAGAATGTGCACAATGACAGCCAAGATAGTGACAGAACGGTTATCTTGTGCCTCCTTGTTTTATCAGAGAGTGCAATATTTCTCAGAGGTCTCCTTAGCAGACTTATTGGCTAGAATGGGGTCAAATGACCACTAACAGCTTTAAGGAAGTCTAGAAGAGTGTCTGGTGAGGAAGAGTTAGGGGATTGGGAATTAATATTGAGTAGTGGTCAACAAAGAGTATTGTCATAAATGCCTTAGAGTTTTCCACATACTTTTATATTCATGATCCCATGACTCAACGGGACTACTAGCCAAACATTCTGGAAATCCAAAATTGGAATAAGAGGTATAAGCAGCATCCACCATGTGGGAACTTCTGGCAATGAAGTCATTTAAAGATCCTGTGAAAGTGTAAATTTAATGCAAAGGTTTTAGAGATATTATAATGTATTTTGCTATAAAACATGCATGTAAGAACCCAAGGAGAAATTCAGAAGATTTTATAGTTTGGGAAGATAATTACATGGTGGAATGAAAAGAGAAATCAAGATGCAAGGATTCTAGGCTCTGCTTTGGATAAACTACTGGCAGTATTCTAAGCCCGTTTCCTCATCTGTAAAATTATGTACTTGAACAAGATTAGAGGATCCCTCAAGTCCTTCTCAAATGTAAGAGAACCTCTACAATCATCATGCTGAAAGTCATAGCTAAAGTAACATTAGAATTCATTTATTTCAAGTTCTTTTTACAAATGAGACAACTTAGAAAGGTCACCATTTGTCTCAATTTACTCATTTAAGTTAGAAATTTGAGTCTCAGTATATAGCACACAATGCTTGATATTACAAATAATTGATATTGCTTCTCAATATAATTTTAAACATTTGGCCTCTTTCTTAGTTTTTCATCTCAGGCAGAATCTCTCTGAGAGCATTTACTCTGTGTAATAAAATGCAAATAATGAGATTCTTTAAAAGTCCACTTTTTAGTGATTAAGTCTTTGGGTACATGATTTTATCTCTGTAAAATAAAAATTGAATCGTATCTTTAGAGGTTTTTTTTCTTTTCCTTTTGGAGGACTAGATAGTCTAGTGTGCAGACTAAAACACAGCAAGGACCCAATCTGTGGTAACCATGAATACCATTAGTGTCTCCTCAGCCATCCATTGCAGGTATTTAAAGCTACTCCTAACTTGGGGAAATGTCCTAGGTCCATTTTCCCAGCAGGTTGTGTAGGGGTGAATCTGAATCACACTATTATTATTTTGTCTTTATATGATCATATCTTTTACCTTCATATTATATAGATATGAAGCCTCTGTGTAATAACTAAGGGTGTGGTACCTAACTGGGAGTCAGACCAACCATTATGCTGCCCACTGAGCTCAGTAACTGGTGATTTCTAGAAGAGGAATTAAAAAAAAAAAAAACCCTCGGATTCTGAACCTAAGATTTATGGGTGCTTCGTGGCATAAAACCACCTAACAATTCATTTAAACAGACTTTCTCAACCTTGGCATTTATTGACACTTTGGGCCCAATCATTCAGGGGACTGACCTGTGCGCTGTAGTTAGCGAGTTCCCTGGCCTTTATCGCCTAGATGCCAGAAGCACCTCTCCAGTCATAGGCCATAACCAAAAATATCTTCAGACCTTGCTGAAAGTCTCCTGAGTGGGAGAACATATTCCCCTTCTCCCTCTTGAGAACTTTATTATATATGTGCACTTTTTTTTTTTTCCTGAGAGACTCATTAGTTTCATCACATTCTTATAAAGGTCTATGACCTTGAAGAGGTTGGAACCAATCACTTAAAACCTTTCAAACTAATAACAATAAAACACACATCTCCAGTGGTAGTTGTGGGGGAAAATGTACACCATCATGCTAATTAAATGGTGCAATTTAAAAATGTATTATAGAACATATATCTGCCCGTTTATTACTTTCAACTACTTTGAAGACATCCATCAAAAAACCCCTACATCTGGGAAAGTATCTACTTCAAAAACTGCTACTCCCAGATGGCAGGCTTCTGCTTCTTAAAATACTGTCTTCCGAAGAGATTCCCACAGTCATCCACCGATTTTAGCTCTAGACTTCCAAAGGGTTAGTGCTAATGACGAGTTAAAAAAAATCAAGTCCAGAGGGGAAATCGAAAATAGATGTTTTCCAGAAAAGTAGTATACATTGCAAGATTATTGCAAGATTTATTAGAAGGATGGAGAAGGGAAAGAGGCGCCAACAGGTAGGAAGGGACAGAGAACAGTGAAGGCAGGAAGGAGGGAGGGGGTAGAAAGGGGAGGGGGAAGAAGCAGAGGATGAGGAGGATGAGCCAGAGGGAGAAGAGGAATTCCTTGAAAACCGTTCCCAAAGGCGGTATTTCTTGGGAAAGACCCGTTAGAAGTCGCCTCCTGACTCCTCCCTGGATTGTCTGGAAAGGCGACTGACCCCACGGAATCCTTGAGTCTTATGCTTTGAGCCATCTTCTCACTCCCACGTCCACACCCGCCTTGTTCACCGCCTTCCAAAGTGACCACTGCTCTAGAACCTTCCCAAAGCTCAGAAAGCTCACTTTACCCGCTCTTTAAGGCCCTCCTGCTCATCCATGTCTCCTAAAGACGGTAGGAAAATTGGAACTTAAACCTAAATACTCCGAAAGCCAAACAAGGACCGCGTCCCGTTTTCGTGGCCACTCGGGAGCACCCGAGAAGCCCAGGAACTTTCTCCCCGACTTCTCAGTCCGTCAGCCTCTCCCACTCTGCCCTTTGAAGAAGACGCGAAGAGGGGGCGGGGAAGAGGGATTCGGGGCTGGCAGAGCCGGGAAGGCTGCTCCCCAGGGGTGGGCTTGCACCCGCGTGGGCAGCGGGGCGCGCCCCCTCCCCGCCGTGCGCGCCAGGAACGTCGCCGGCGGCCGCGCCGCGTCCTCGATCTGTCTGCGCTGGGTCCCGCGGGGCGCGAGGGGAGGGGACAGGAGAAAGAGGAGGGCCCGGCAGCCGAGGGGAGGAGGCGGTGCGTGCCTCGCCTGCCAAACGGAGAGCTGTTCATCTGCGTGCGATCCCCGGCGCCCCGCGCGCGGCCGCAGCGCTCCGCCCGAGCCGCCCCGGAGACTCCGGAGTGGGGTCTCCACTGCGTTCCGCTGCCGGTCTTTCCTGAGACCCTCAGCTCCTGCCGGCCTCAGCTCTCCCAAGTCGGCCCCGGGTCTCTGCGGCTGTTAAGGACAGCGGCAAAAAAAGAGAAGGACGTTCTTCTGTGCCTTGGATGTTCCGGTCCGGGAAGGACGGCAAGTTGTGTGTTGCGCCCGGGACCCGGGAGAGAACGTGGCCGCTGTGCTTCAGCCATGTAAGTAAAGCACTCGGCTGCCCCACGAGCGTGGGTTCAGCTTCTTTCCCTCGGGCCCCCTCTGACCCGGACGCTGGAGTTGGGCTGGTCCCGGGCTCCAGACTTCGCGAGCTCGGCTGTTCTGCCGGCTCTGCCTGACGCCGCGTCTGCTGTTGGCATTGGCCTCCGGGGGGTGCTGCCTTCCCATTCTTATCTCCTATTTTCTCCCAGAGCCGGCTGGAAAATGCCTCTTTCCCTCTTTTGGAATTGAGGGATCCTTGTGTGTCTTCATGGGTGGGGTGGTGGTGAGGCAATTGCAGGGGGTTGAATCTGGGCTTGTCTGGACCAGAGCTTCTCATCCCATATGGAGAAGAGGGCCCTCGCGCCCCACGCCACTCCCTGCTGGTCTTCGGAACCAACCTCTGGGCTGGGCTCAGAAAGAACTTCAGCCGCTGATCTTAGTCGGCAAGATTTACAAAATTAAATGAATGAATGAATAAAAGAACCCTGAGTTCCCTTTGAATGATATACAGCATTGGAGATGGGGCATTGTGTGGGGAAGAGACATGTGGGGGCTAGGAATTTGTTATGGACCTCCAAAACTAGAGTTAGGAAGGTGGTGGGCTCTGTGCTTCTGGATTCATTTCTTTACGAAAAGTGTGGGAATGGTTGAGAAACTCGTTTTGAATGTCAGGAGTGGAAGAAAATGCACGTGGAACCATTTGAATGACTGAGGTTTAATGGTGAGTGCTGAAAAGTGTGGATTACCTTTCATATTAGACAAGTGTTCTGCCATAGGAGTGGTTCCCGTGAAATTATTGGAACCAATGAATCAGAATAGCAGATGTGAAAATAAGACACACGCAGGTTTTCTTTTATACTAGAAGATAGTTATTAGGACTGAAGGAATTCTCAAATGCTACTGATTGAGTACTGGAAGTGTCCGATAATAATTGTGTTCAATGTCTGTGCTTAGATAGTCATAAAGCTGGTTAAATTTATGGTATTCTGCAATTGTAAAAATATTATCCTAATTATTTTGATTGGGTTCATGCAGAAATAATACACCCTTAAAGGGACATGGAAAAGTTGCTATAAACTGTGAGCATGAACTTGCAAGCCAAATAAACAAACCACAGTGTAGTTCATTTTATTTTAATACCCTGAATTATGTTTAGTGCCAGTAAAAATGCTACATTACTTTTAATGTGATTATATGAAATGAATTCACTGCTGTGGTAAATAGAATGCATTTCTTTAAGTAAATAGCTGTCAGAGTTCATTTGGGAGCATTTATACGAGATAAAGATGTGAAAACGCTTTCAGGTAGTTTGACAAAGCTGGAGTTACAGAGCAGTTTATAGAGGGAATTAGTTCTTCCCACTTTTGAAGTGTTGAGTCAAGTTTGGATATTCCTTCAACTGTAGGCCAACTGGATAGGCGTTATCAATTCTCTGAAAGTATTTAACTTTTTATATTTCCTATTGCTGTTTTCCAGGGACCATCATCCTTACTACAGAGGATGGGAAGTTGATGCCCAGTGAGATTGGAAGATCTGTTTTGTTCATAGACACCTTCCTGTGGATTTCCTGTGTTTTCTGGTGGTTTCACACCTTGACTCATTCCTACAGTTCCAGAACATTGACTTCAGGCCCTCATTGCCCTATTTGGTGAAAGATGGCATCCAGCCTGACTTGTACTGGGGTGATCTGGGCTCTGCTCTCTTTTCTTTGTGCTGCCACCTCCTGTGTGGGCTTCTTTATGCCTTACTGGCTCTGGGGATCACAGCTGGGCAAGCCTGTGTCCTTCGGTACTTTCCGGAGGTGCTCGTATCCTGTGCATGATGAGAGTCGGCAGATGATGGTGATGGTGGAGGAATGTGGGCGCTATGCCTCCTTCCAGGGCATTCCCAGCGCAGAATGGAGGATCTGTACCATAGTGACGGGCCTGGGCTGTGGCCTGCTCCTCCTGGTGGCCCTCACCGCTCTCATGGGTTGCTGTGTGTCGGAGCTCATCTCCAGGACTGTGGGAAGAGTGGCTGGAGGAATTCAGTTTCTGGGGGGTAAGTGACCTGCTAAACTCGAATTGTTTACCAGAATCCCAAAGCCATGTTGAAAATTATATGTGTCATTTGTCTATTGAGATATTAGATTGGAATTCACAGGAGAAGTAGATATGGAATGGCTTTGATGATAGATTGTCAAAATCAAAGATTTTTACTGGAATTGCTTCACAACTTCAAGGGCTCTTAATTTCTGTACATGCCTAGACATATATATACACACACACACACACACACACACACACACCATGGGCCTACTAACTACCATATCTCGTGGGAGACAGTATCATCTACATTGGGTTGTAGTTGGGGAGTATGGATTTTACAGCTTCTTGCTCTTTTATGTTCAACAATAGGCAATGGGATTATCTTTGTCATACTGGGAACTTCAGGTTTTTAGAAGTAAAGCTTTCCTAGAAAAGCACAAAGGGTTTTTGATTCAACATTGTCCTCAAAAGCCTCCAAGACTCCTTGATGGGTCTCAAATCGACCCTTGCCCAGACATAAACCGTATTTCTAAATAAATGTGACTATTTTAAACTAGAGAACAGTTTTATATTAACAACTATAAACGTAATTATACTACCAAGATAGCCATAGGCCTAATTACCATGTTAGGACTTAAATATTTCTGGGTGCTTTTGCTATGTTTGGAAAAACAAAGAATACTGTATTTAACAAATGAGGTGTGCTTGTCCCAAATGGACTGGATAGTTTCACTCACACCGAAAAGGTTTGATTTTCACTTGGCTTTCCTCCAGAAAGTATTGCTTCAGTATCTCTGGTCATATGGTTCTAATTGCACTTTATATATTTTCCACTGTGGTTTTCACCTCCATTCTTCAACCTGACTGGCTGAACTTGTCTGATTTACAATCCACCCTGGTGAAATATGACAACCTCCATAGATAGTGCAGACTGAAGGGAAATGGGAAACCTGGAAAACTTATAAAATGTATTTGTAACCTCATGACAAAGTAGAAGTCTGTTATGCTCCCATTTGGTGTTCTCCTGTATTCTTTTAGGAAGAATATGGAAGAAGAAAAAGAAGCATTAATAATGCATAGTTCTGAGATAGCCAGTACATACTTGGGAATCCCAAATGGATTGTTTCAGATTATTTAGTAGAAAATGTTCAAGTAACATTTCAAGGGTGTTTAAAATGCAAGTGGCAAAAATCTTTGTGCTTTGGAATGAGAATTAGACATGTTTGCAGTTCTTCATTTCCTTCTTCTGAATTAACTTTTTGTTGTTGTTGTTCCTGTGGTTTTGCATCTTAGTCTGCCTAGAGGAAAGTTGGGGGACCTAAAAATTCAGTTCTTACTGCTTCAGTATTCAACACTAATAAAAATCTTGCCTGTGAAGTGTGTCTGTACAGAAATATAATAAAACTATTAGGAAACATATAGAGGTTATCATTGAAATAAAAACTCAGTGTTCAAAACTTGTTCATAGCACAGGTTTTTAGAATAGAACTAATGCCAGAAGCATTTTAAAAATTTTTCTTTAAGAATAAACTGGGTTTGCTGTTTGTTTCACTTGGCTCTGGAAAAATGCTTAGGCAGTTTCATTTTCTCCTCTTATGGTAAATATTACTTTCCATTTTTTCTTCATTTTAGGGCAGAGACTGCTATTATTTCTGGCAGAATAGGAAAATGCTTACAAAGAGAAATCAGTTTTTATTGATTATCTTTAAACATATAATGAAGGAAGGCAACAGGAAGTAAATCTGACACCCATGAGATTTATGCTTCCCTCTCTGAGCTATGTATAGATTTTTTTTGAATTATATAGAGCTAAATGTTCTACTTTACAGAATACCCAAGGGACAGGCAATTGGGAAAGTTATATGTATCTTAAAAGAAACCAGGTTTTTTCTTTGTCTATGCTTTTGGTGCACCCTGATTTGGTAAGAGTTACTCACCATAAGCTAAAGTTATGATCTGTTATTAGCAGTTATAATATTTCATTTCTCAAGTGTATATATGTATTTCTTATATCAGCAAATGGTAATTCTGGATTAAAACCTAAGAGGGGTTTTCTTTTCTTTTCTTTTTTTTTGTTCTAATTAGTTATACATGACAGTAGAATGCATTTGAACACATCATACATAAGTGGAGTCTAACTTCTCATTCATTTGGTTGTCATGTAATCATATACGTACATAGGGTCATAATGTCCAATTCATTCTACTATCATTCCTACTCCCATGTCCCCTCCCTTGGCTTCACTTCCTGGAGGGTTTTTCTGACTCTAACTTCTTGAGAGTACCAGTGAGTAAATATACCAATTACCAAAGATAATGGTAGCTTTAGAATTTAAAAAAAAAAAATAGCTTGAAATATATAACAGGTTTTGAAAATCTGTTATTAATCACTCTCAGGTAATAAGAGACCAGATGACACAACAAAACACTCCAAAAAGAATTTCTGTAATTGTTCATTTCGTAATTGTCTGAGTTTCTATTCATTAAATCTTATGTGGTAAGTAATTTGTTTTGTTACTTTTTTTTTTTATATAAAATGAGTGAGTTTTATAAAGATCTCTGCAAAATTCCAAACCAGTCAGTTCTGTGAATCTCATAGACTGCATGTTTTAGAAATGTAATCAACATACAGGGAACTCTGCTGTGAGGCAGATTCTCTTACTAAAAATGATTCGCCCAGAAGGGTTATGTTTAGCTCAAGTGATGGTTGCTCCAAAAACAACAGGAAGCAGGAGAATGGCAAAATACAGAGGCATCCTGCTTAACCCCGCCTGCTGTATCTGGAGTCTGCACATATGGTGTAACATCAGGCAGTAAAACCCCTGCAGTACTTTGGAACAAGTTAAAGGACAAAATGTCAACCTTAATTTTGAATCTTCTTGCTATGGATGGCTAGAGGTAAAAATTTCACTTGTCAACTGATAGAGCAACATGAAATGGGCTGGTTGTATATGGATGGTTGCTACCTGTCCTAGGAAAACTGAAGGAATCAAAGATGAGTGCAATTTCCTGTGGTCACTTGGACACAAACTTAATTTCTGCCATCTCCGTTTCATACTATAAGACACGTTTACATTAAAATTTTTTAAAAAATTAGTAAGAGTTGAATTCTACTTTCAATTGATTTTTTTTTTTTTAAAAAAAGGCATATAGAAAGACTTTGGAAAATATAATGTATGATGAAAGTGTCAACATGTATGTGATAGGCAAGGTTCCTCTGAGAACATAGAGGTGTTAAAGTCATTTTTGTTCAACATAAAAGTATGCACCTTCAAATACTGTTGTGCTCGTTAAGAACTCCAACAGAACTTTAGAAAATTGATGGCAAACTCTCTGATGCAGTAGTAAAATGTTTTATTTACCTCTAAAAGAGACAGCAGGGATATTGTGAAGATATAGTAAATCTGTAATTTCTGTGAACTTGTGCTTGTGAATGTCAGTATCTGAATTTGTAGATTTCATCTTAAGAGACTGCTGGTGCTGTAATGAGGGAAAAATCAAAGAAAGCCCCAAATTTCCACTGTTTAGTTTGGATGTGTGTCACCTATATGTATAAGGGGGTGGGACGCTAGCCAGCAGCATAGTCCCTTTCCAGTTTAGACACTCCTCTGTTCTAAGAAGCCAGGGGAGATCCTCTCCTCAACTAATTGATAGTTGAGTGCTGTTCGTGACACTAATGAAGACAGAGTGTCTCTTTCTCTGTGTGCTGAAACACCATGCCTTTCCAGGGTGCCCTCACTGGAGGACCCCACCTGGGCCTGTCTTTCATTCTTTGGGGAGATTGCTCCAAACTCTCCTTCCTTTGCTGTACTTTAAGCCTGATCTGTCATCTGATATGCAGGTTATGCTTTCCTTTATATCCAGGCTCTCTGTCAAGTGTCAGCTGAATAATAAGGTAAATAATAAGTGTTGGCATATTAATGGGCATCCTGGCTTTCTAGTGTTGGTGCCTTAACTGAAAGCAGTTGCTCTAATTTTAAGAAATTCTGGGATTTTTAGGATGTTGGGGAGGAGGCAAAGCTTTTTTTTGCTCTTCTCTAGGTTAGGTCATATAGATTTCTATTTGTTTTTTTAGTCAGTTTGCTCTAAGCTATGATATGAGGTCCAGGTGAGTGATCTTTAAGTTCTAAGCCAAAGGGGTGTATGTGTGTGTGTGTGTGTGTGTGTGTGTGTGTGTGTGTGTGTGTGTATGATAAATTACATATTGAATTTCCTTATTTCCTTTTATCTACCATTCTCTTATACCAGAAAGATTTTATCGATGGAAACTAAAAATAAGACCCTATAACATTCTCTGTAGTTTGCATGCAGTGGTTTTTCAGTAAGGAATTACCAATTGAAAAATAAGAAATCCATACAACAGACCATAGGGATGGGCCTTGATGGCCCCTGGCCAACTCGATGTAGCCATGTCCATTTAGGAAAAGCAGGATGATGAAACCATGAGTGGGGCTTAGGAATCAGCTATTCTGAGCTCTGCTGCTAGGCAGGATGGCACTTAATTCAGCTCTGGCTAGTGAACATGTTTCCTGGTCCTAAGCATCTGTAGGGAAGAAGATGATTTTCTCTTGCTCAGTGGTAGGACTTTCTAGAACCATAGACCACATCTTTTATCACAACTGTGCACACTGATCATGCACAAAAAGAAGCTTGAGATGGAGCATAAACAGTGTAGCCCTGGGAGGCAGGCTTTGCCACCAGGAAAGAGTGGAAGGAAGCTACACTGTGGACAAACACCAGCAGCAAACCAACAGAGTTCATCTACTCCAAGTCTGGATTTGATAGAGGCAGGGATGGTGGCCAATTGATAGTTTATAAAATCTAGAATGCCAAACTTTATATTTTCATACCTAATACTTTGTTTTCCCTAGTGCTGGGAAATCAAAACCAAGGCCTTGTGTATTCTAGACGAGCACTCTGCCACTGAGTGACATTCCCAGCCTGTGTAATAATGTTTTAAAATGACATTTTCAGATAATCATTGATAGCAGTTTTATTATTATTTTTACTTATT